CTGAATTCATAAATATTTTCCCTTATAATTTCTTTTTAAAGTTTTATACTTTTAGGCTTTCTTATTTAGGTTCATAGATCCCTTCCTCTCCCAGCGATAGACTGTTACTTGCTTCTCTTTGCCATGCTTGTGGGGCGGAGTGGCTTCTTCTTTGTTCTAGTTCAGCAGAATGGTAGTTAGGCCATGTGTTCCTGGGGATTGGTGTTTGAATTTTATTTGAGGCAAGAAGTAACTTTGTAAACCAAGCTGAGAATTATTTAATGTTCGCTAGAAAAGTTAATTGGTAATTTGGAATACAAGTTCATTGTAAAGCCAAATCTTGCCCCATATATCATGTAGAATGAAGTATTCAAAAAATTAGTTCTTAGAAAAGTGAAAATCAGGGTATTTATCCTACCTCTAGCAGGGCTAGAGGAGGCAAAGTTTTAAAGAAAGGTGGTATGAATTATGGAGGAAGGACCTGATTAAGGACATATAAGAGGGTTGGTACACAGCATTGTGTCTCACAGAATTTGGAGACCATAGTGTTACTATAGGGTCATCCACATGGTTATATGATTGTCCAGAGTGGTTGATGTTTTGAAGAAAGCCCAAGGATGTCAGAGTTGGGAGCCACAGATAAAATTAACTAGCCCAAGTTCCTAAATTGACCTCCGGTAAAATGATTGTTTCTGGAGCCTCATCCATTCTCTGTCATTCTGTTAGTAAAAAGTTTAACCATGGGCAGTAAATCTAAAGCCAGTAGGGCTCATATTTCTTAAAAAGGCCTTGTCTGCAAAGTCTCCTATTTGGTGTTAGTTTTGAGGTGGCAAGGAACATTAAACATTACCATTAATTTGATAACTCTTAATTTGTAATACCCACTGCCAATGATCCAGATAAGAACAGTAGCCATGATATTTATTCGATGCTTCTTTACCTCAGAGTTAACTATTTCCTCTTATGGTTCCATTTTACCCAAGACTGGGCATTGAGGGCACTGCTGCTGGGGTGACTTCTGCAGCTCTGATGAGTAAGCTGATAGTCTATGAGTCCCTTGCCTCCTGAAAATACCAGGGAAACCCTAGTTTGCTCATACCTCCTTTGGGGATCTGACTATTTTTTGTTTTGTTTTTTGTTAAAGCCAGTTACTGCCTCTTGTCAACTTTGTAGTACTTATCTATTATACCTTTAATCTTCAATTTTTTTTCACTTATAATAGTGACAAGAATGGGAAATGGCATTTCTTAACCATCCAAAGTGTCTTGTAAGAATCTTTGTATGCTTGCAGGGAAACAGTGATGTGTCATAGTATCTAATATCTGTAATGAATTCAATGACTTAAATATGTCTTCTTTCTCCTACTTTAGATCTATCCATACTAATGGAAATGTAACCGGAACTGACTCTGATGATAAAAACCAGGACCATCAGACAAGATCATGTAGTAGGAAACTGCTTCCAAATGAAGGCACCAACATTTAGAATTTCTTCTTATTCTAAGGTATTTGAGGCACAATTTTATTTTGACTTCTTTGCAGCCATCTTATGTTGGTTTTTATGTATAGATTTACAAGTTTAAGTTCTTACATGTTAGAGTGGTTATCTTTTAGAGAGTTCATCTCTGCTTTACACCTGCCCCCCCATCAGTGGAGAAAAGATCCAGATGTCAAAAAGGTGTTCCTTACAGTTAGGAATCTTGTTAATTATAAGAAATATATTAAGTGAAGATTAAGATTAAGCTATATAGAAGAATTAAATACCAAGTTAGTAAGTATCTTACTTACACCATGACTCCTGAGATTAGCAGCTGAATCCAGTATTCTAACAGTCTGCCCACATATTATCAGAGACCTTAAACTTTGTTGTCCCTTAGTTTGGACTTTTCTCTTTTCTCCTAAATTTACCAGTAAAGGTTTTCTATTCACTGAGAAGTGTCATTGTTATTCTATAAGGTATTCCTGCAGGACCTTTGGAATCTGATGTTTTGGTTTCACTTGGACCAGAAAAGCAAGATATGTAATTAAAGAGTAAGTGACTGTTCTAAAACATGGGGTGGATCCCTACTTTAAAGACCATAGAAGACAACTGAAAACAAAAGGAAATGCAATATCGACAGAAAACAAAACAAAATTTGTCTTTTCTCTTTTCCTAAAATACACATAAATTCCAAAGAGGATATAGTTAGATGTTACACTTAAAAAATACATATATATGAGACTGAGTTCAATCCCTGGTACCAAAAAAATATATATATATTATTTTCACTTAATTTTTCCACATAGGTAGAAAGTATGGAAAATATATTAGGAGGCAGGTCAAAGTTGGTTGGTTTCCCTGTATGTTTTATACAAGCTTATAAATTAATAATGCCTTGCTAGAATCTAAAGATGAAAAGCTGAGAAAAATATATCACTTAGTAGAATTCTTTAATTTCATTCTAGTCTGCTTTGGAAAAAAATATGTAAAGCAATAAATTCCAGGATAATGATAAGAATTTATGATATGGAAATCCTAAGACTGACTCAATTATAGTAAGTGGATTATCTCTAGAAAAGGATGGTATAATTGAGCAGCTTTTGCCAAACAGAAGTTATCTTGTATCAGGTATCAGATGAAAAGAGATTGTTTTGACAACAAGTTGTAAAACTTCTCTAGCAGTTAGTAAATGTGTTGTGTTTTTCTAAGTTTTTTGGGTGTCATTTTTGAATCAAACAGCAATGATGATTAAATATATCATTTTTCTTATTACCAGAACTATTTTACTTTTTTAAAAAAGTAAAGTCCTTCCTTCTTACTTTCATTTAAGAACAATAGTTGAATGTTCAAGCTTTGCAAACAATGACTGTAGGTATGTGGAAGGATATAAATTATCGTGTAACTTTATTATAAATGAAGTTGATGATATCTTTTACTCAAGATATTTCCTGTGGGGCTAGGGAGAATGCACCCATCTGAATCTAATTTAGTTTCTCTTTCTAAGTAATAAAATCTATATTCATACCTAAGATTAGGGAATAGGAAATTCTGATTAATTGTATTTGACTAATTGGTCCTGGTTGTTAACAAGTTATGATTCTAATTCTAAAAATGTCATATAGCCTAAATTAGGTTGCTTACATTGTTAAATTAGGAATTTTTAATTCCTCAATTTCTCATATCTTCCCACTCTTTTGCAGATCATCACAGAGTATTATCTCCTATTCACATTTATTGTTTTCCTGTTTGAAAATGAAGAAAAGTAAAATTTTCACAATTTTTGTGGAAAAGTATTACATGATACATTTGAACAATATTTTCTTATAATACTTTTTGAAAGGACTTTAGACTTTGAGACTATGAAATTTTGTTATTCCAGGGAGATCAGAACAAAACAAAATTAGTGTTTAAGGGGATGAGTTAAGGCCCTACATTTCAATATGAGCTTTTGAAAATATTTTGTCTGGCTTCAATAAAACGATTGAAAACAGATTTCAGCAAGGCGTATGAGAGATTAGTCTCCCTGTGTGCAGTTTCTCTGTGGCGTGATGGGAGCACAGGCTTTGGCTCTTCCGCTTTCACACTGCTGTGGGAAACTGAGTCAGTATTTCTGTTTCCTTTTCTATAGTAAATGTTTAGACTTGTGATGAGAAATGAAAAGTATATGAAATAAAATAAAGTTTTTCAGTGTGAGATTAATGAATGTTATTGCTAAAGACAGAGACCATACAATTGAAGTATCATTCAGAGGTTTCCTTTTCATAACAAAAAACAGGTCAACACACACTATTACTGAGAAGCTTGTAAAACCAGTTTCAAAGTTAATGACAAATATTATGCTTGGAGAGAAAGTAAAATGAGCTTTTGGCAAAAATCCCTTATCAAAGGCATACCATCTGGAAAAGCAATTACTGTCATGTGTATGCTAGTGGATACTTTGTTTTTCAGTTGAAGGAAAGTACTGATGTACAGAGAATGTCCTAGTACTTGATATAGGTGTGTTACTTTTATCACTGGAAAATTACTACAGTAGAAGATCTTTGTTTTTATTTTGTTTTTGTTCCGGGGATCGAACTCGGGACCTTGCGCTTGCGAGGCAGGTGGCAGAACCACTGAGCTAAATCCCCAGCCCTTGTTTTGTTTTGATGGTAGTGATTGGTTGATTTTTTTTTTTTTTAAGCCAGGCTTTAACCTGAAAGAGTTGCTTGGATTCCTTCTGAAAAAGGCACTAACAACTTGAGCTGCAGGAAAGGGTATACTGACTTTTTGAGTAAGAGATTTGTACCAGCATATCAATTCATACCCTTTTTGCAGAGCGAACTGGCATTCAGTAATGTGATTTCTGATTATGATTCAGTATTGAAAAGAGTAAAAATTGTGGCTACAAGCAGTTTTGGGCTACTAAACCCACATCTTTTCAGAGTTTTGTGAAGAAATAGCTAGCAACTATAGTATTCTGTTTTTCCACAGTGATTTATGCTAGCTATATAGGGAGAAAGTGTTGCATGTCGGCTAGTGTTTTAGTAAAATGAGATAAATATTTCTTTACTACTAATAGTGCAATATCTGTTATTTCAAAGGGCATAGTTTAGTGTTTCAAATAGTCTGAACTAACAACTTCAGTTCACAATATCATGAATTTCAGTGTTAAACATGAAATATGAAGCTGTTTTGAAAGTCTGATTTATGACAAAATAATTCATTTTCTAAGATTTTAACCATTTTCTAGACTTGATTTTATTAATCTCACAGAAAAAAGTGTTATTTTCATCATGCATGTTTAAAAACCACATCCAAATTTTAAAATAGAACATGGAGAAATATTTTCTAGAACTAAAAGGCAAGCAGAGAATAGATTAGGAATCTTTTTGTTTCAAACTCTCAAGTTGAAGCATTTGACTTATAGCTTGGAGTAGGATATACTTTTTTTTAAATTTAAAAGTAGATTTACATAAGAAGTCTTGCTGTAATTTCTAGATTTTATGTTCCATCATAATATCAATATCCAAGCTATAAAACACTGCTCATTTATTTATAATTAGGAATTTTATTTTAGTAGAAATAATAAGAAAGAAACCAGCTGAATATGAGGATTGTTTTATGGCTCAATCTGATTTCAAACCTGGGGACTTAAACATCTTGCAGTGATCAAATAGAGTTGTGACATAAAGACTCAGACACATAATTGAATGGGCTCTGGCTGGTCAAAGATGGGACAATTGAGCATTAGTAAGCGTAACTGCAATATAATGAACACATAAAATATGTTTAAATATGAACTTATAATAGTGCTTTTAAAAAGTATCATTAGTTTTCTTTGGAATATATTTAAGAACTAACTATACTTCAGGATAGCTTCTGTTGGGAGCATTCTAGTTAATAAATGAAGGAGTGATAGAGCAGAACGTTACTATTTTATAATAATTCCTGGGCCTAAGTAGAGACCATCAGTAGACAAACAGCCAGACTTTAGATTTTTTTTAATGAAAGCTCACAGCACTACCTATGAAGTAGCTTTGCCAAAAAGAAATTTCCTTGAGCCTGAATCTGTTCTAGCCTTTAACTCTAACTACTGGTTTATGGAAAACACGAAATACAGGGGAACATGAAATACCACAAAGATATTGCCAGCAAAAGGTAGGCTGTGGGGAGCTCCTCAGGACATGTGACTTGGTTTTTTCAACAAATAAATTGTAGGGAGACAAAGGAAGAGAAAGGAAACTTTAGGGTAATAGAAATGTTTGGACTTTATTTAGTCCAGACTTTAGTATTAAAGAATTATTATTAATTTTAGGAGTGATACTAGGAGATAGTTATACTTTCAAGGTCCCTCTGTAATAGGGATATATCTTGAAATATTAATGAATGTAAAGATGTGCTTTGGATCTGCTTTATCATGGGGGGTGCTACAGGTGAGGATTGACCAACATTGACCATGAGGTGTTTGGCCATTCTTTAAGCTGGATGCAGGATTTGGGACAGTGAGTGGGAAAGGGAAAGAAGGTAGATCTTCATAATTTTCTTTAAGCTTTCTTGAAAAATTTCATAAGAGAAAGGTCCAAACAGTTTATCTTTGTTGGCTTATAAGAATACAGTTGAGTTATGTATTCAGCAGTCCACTGATTTGGGGGGGCCAGAAATGGGAGGCTCAATACCCAGGGTCTCATCGATCCATTAAGTGCTCTACTGCTGAGCTACACCCCCAGCCCTATTTAGTTAGTGAGTTTTGAGACAGTGCCTTGAAAGTTGCCCAGGCTTTCCTTGAACTTCTGCCTCAGCCTCTAGCGTAGCTAGGGTTATAGGCTTGTGGTGCTATGTCTGGTTGAATTAATGTTTCTCAATTAGCAGTAATCATGCCTCAGATAAACTTCATCGGCTATCATACTGCCACTGTGCAAAACTCTGAATTCTTATTTCTCATAATTTCTTTAGTCTATTGGGTGTTCTTTATAGAAAAAGATTTTGTTTGTCTTAGTGTACTGGCCAAAGAGTTCGGTTTTTAGTTTTTCATTTTTTATTTTTGTT